TGAACCACAAAGAAGCACTGACTTGACTGACATTAGTGGTGAAAATCCGGATCTTGTTCACGCTTTATGCTGAGTGGAGTGGATTGCAGTAGATCTCCACACTGGTTTCAGATTAATGAAGGAAGGCCTGTCTTGCTGTCTTTCCGATCGTGGCTGGCTTTGACGTCGTCATGTGTGCCTGTGCCACCTGTAGTTGAGACAATGCTGTCTAGGTAGGTAGGTAGGTGAAAGAGACAACTTGCTTTAAGTTTCTCCCGTTGATGGTGATTGGTGTTTGTTGTTGTTGTTGACTGTGTATCTTCATCACCTCTGTCTTATCTACGTTCGCTTGAATAGTGTCTTGTCTTCGCTGCCATGCCATGCCATGCCATGCCATGCCCTACCCTGCACTGCACTGCACTGCCTCTTCTGTTGACTTGGTAGTTTCAGCCTGTACATCTTCGAGTTTGTGCCATGAGACATTAGACATGAATCATCATCTCTGGCGAAATACAAATCTTCTGGGATCTTTTCATCGATCCTGCCAGCGTATGCTCATCTTCTCGCTCCTCACTGTTTCTTGCATGATCCACTCCACTACAACCAGGAATATCATGCGTGATAGTAGACAGTCTTGTCTCACTCTTTCCTGTCTTCACTTCGAAAGCATCACTGAGCTTTACATTGTGAATAACTTGGCATGTGGCGTCATCATCATCATCATCATCATATAGGTGTTGAATGAGGTTGATAAAGGTTTGCGGCTCTAAAGCCGTAGTGTTGAAGTAGCTGCCTGCCAAATTACTTGTTGGTCGACGCTGTCGAGAGGTCTTTCAAAATCCACGAAGTTGAGGTAGACAGTTCATTGCTATTCTATGCTCTGTTCTATGATGATGCGTAGCGTCGCGTCGCGTCGCGTCGCAATTTGGTCCACACATGATTTGTTCTTTCTGAAGCAATCGTCTTTCGATCGTAGTTCTGAATTCAGCGCATCTTTTAGTCTTTCCGGGATGATGCGGCCTAGCATTCTGCTTTGGGTGGACAGGAGTGGAGCATGATTCTGTGTCAGTTCTTGTTCTTGCAAAGACTCAAGTCGCCCTTATTTCGGAGTTTGACAAGATAGACCTTCTTCCAATCAATGGGCAGGCACCTTCCCTTCATTCCTTCCTTCCAAACCCTTTGCTACAGTGGTGTGAGCATGTCCGCTGTTGTCTGTGCATCTGTCGTCACTGCTTCTGGTGGGATTCCATCTGGTCCTGCTGCTTCCTCGCATTCCAGTGGCTTTATGGTGTTCAGGACTCCGACTTTGGTCGGAGAGCCTGTGTTCACTGGTAGTTCTGTGGTTGCACTGCATGTGGTATTTCGGGACGAGTTGCAGTTGGTGATGGTGGTCGATTCAAGAGTTTTTCGAAGTGGTCAGCTCATCGTTTCCTTTGTTTCTCCTCTTTGATGTCAACTAGGTTTCCTTCACTATCTCTCATTGGTTTCATCTGTGTTGATCTCTTCCCTCCCAGATAGTAACCTGGTTATTTGATATAGTGTTGTCTGGTCTCTGTCTCTCCTACTTGCAGCCTGTTCTGCTTCACTTGCCAGTGTGTCGTGGAAGTGTCTTTTGTCTTTCCGCGCGCTCTTCTTCAATTCTTTTTCCAGTGTAGTGTTTTATATGTTGTGTTCAGATCCTCTTCTCGTTGTTCAGATTTGCACTGCATTGCACTGCACTGGTTCATCTTCTGCCTCACCATCCTCCACTCTCTGCCTGTTCAGCTTCCTTGTATTCGTGGAGATCCATTTGTTGTCTTGATTCTTCTTCCTTCCCAACACGGTTATGCAGGTTTCTTTCCACATCTCTTTCAAAGAGTTCCAGTGTTCTCCCATGCAGGTTTCTTCAGGGATATTGCTGGATATCTTCTATTTTGTCTTGATGGCTGACTGACGTGAAGATTTCCTTTGTGGCTGTGTCCTTCAGTTAATTTTCCGTTCTGAGTGTTGTGCGTGAACTATCTTTTTATTTCACCAGCTTCTTTGAAGGCTTCCAACTTGATTTTGAAGTTCCCTTTCACTACATCGTGGGTGGTGTGAACCTACATCTGCTGTTCTTCATGATCTGGTCTTGTGTCCAGTAGGCAGCGTCTCAACTTTCTTCAGATTGAGATGAAGTCGATCTGAATTTAAGTGTAGTGTGCCCATCTGGTGATGTCAAAACATGTCGCTTTGTGAATATCCTTGTACTTGTGCTCAGTAACTCCAATCACTTACTCGTTGTATTTGTAGAAGTCTTCAAATAGTTTTCCGTTTCTACTCATAATTTCAGCCTGTGCTACTCAAACCGTGATAAGTTCTGTTCCTGTGTTTTCTGCTACCAGTTTTGCATTCATGTCTCCCCAGCCATTTATGAACTATTGAGATATGCTAATGAATGTTTTGCATCTAAAAGTAGTAAAATCCAGGAGCAGGCCAAGTCGAAGGCGTTTATTCAGATTTTCTGCTCAATATTTCATTGAAAACTTCTGTTCATATCAGATGAGATTAATAATCTTTGGTAGTTTGGTCGTCACCAAATAGAGACATCAAGTTTGGTTATTTGTATTTTACAATGCAGGACTGATAGATAACCTTTGTAGTATATAAATATTTATAGGTGATGAATGATCAGAATACTGAAATTTGATTATTCGCTGACATTTTTTTTGCCATTCATCTGCAAAACATTACTTCATTGATTTAATGAGTTTTCTGGACATTTCTTTCATATTTTACTCACACTTAATCTACTCAGTGGCTTACTAACACACGTAGGGTACTGTCGAATGATGTAGTACGAACTTCTTTTGAGAACATTACATTGGAATATTTATATAGTTAGCCACATTGTTCAAGCTGTATTTTATGTGTATAATCCGAATGCAGCATAATAAAATGGACAAAAAAATAAACAGATATTTTCCTCAGTTTCTCAACGTTTTGATCTTTCTAGGATGGCGCTTTTCAAAAGCATTAGTCTAATATTAAGATTTCAGGTTAATTTTCAGGTTAAGTATAGATGACCATTTTGACCAGCTAATTAAATTGCCAAACGGAGAGAAACTGTTTATAGCTTAAATGAATGATACTAACAACTGGATTAGGGAAGCCTATGCAAGTTACTTATGTGTTGTAGTACGAAAACCTGTGTGCTGCTTATTTTGACTGTGAAGTATATATTAGAGTGAAAAGTCATCAGTGAAGGAGAAAAATAAATTGCCATTTGGTAAAACAGAATACATTAGGAATAAATGACGTAAAGTGAAACTAACTTGCTTTCAGTCTTCTTATATACTAATTGGAACTTCTCATGCAAGTCAATAACCTTTTGCTATAGTTGAAGAAACATGCCGTCTTTCACTTATGTAATTCCTTAATTCTATGCATCTTACACATTAGAATGAACTGTTCTTGATAATGAATCCATGCTGACAGTTGAACCGAGAAAGCTGTTTTGACCAGGATAGAGTTTTTAATCCGATTACGGCGTGTTTATTTACCTTCTAAGAATAATCAATATTCCTCATCATTTCGAAGAATGGATTGTCATAATAAGTAAGCTAAGTTGCTTTAGTCATTACGAAACGATAACTGATTTCGTTAGGGTTTTTAGGCTGCTTTTTATTAACTTATTATTCAGTAGCTCTTTATTAGGTGTAGCAATGTCTACTTCGTTTAAATACTCATGTAGTCGGTGACATCCAAAAATGTCCCGGGAGAATTGCAAGCAGTACCTATGACTGGCACTGAGAAACTACTATATGTAACATTTGAGCGTATATATTTTATTCTTTGGTAAAAATCTAAATATTTTACTTACGGGGCTGTGGCATGAACAACGGAAACATTTATAAAATTTTGTTTTTGAGATTTTAAACACTCTGGGACCATATAAAAGTTTAATTTCATAATAATAAAAATGGACTATATCTTCGGTCATTAATGTATTATCCAAAATATTTGTCCGTTTGTTAGTTTATGCAGGGTGTTATATATGCTTCACTATACACTCAAACGATGCTTTTAAGCAACAACTAACTGCATTATTGAGAAAAGTAAGATTTCTAGTTTATACGAAAATTAAGTTTTTTTAATAAACTCATCAAGTGAAAAATAATAATCTGAGCTAAAAGTAATTCTGTAACTGTATTCTACCTTCTTATAATTTTAAAATGTATTTATTTTAAGGATTTTGTTAACTCATTTTGTCTAGACTTGTGTTTGACTATTCTTTTGATTTGCCTAAATATTTCAAAAAAATAATAATTCATGTTATCAGAAAAACCTAGATATTTATCAAAATCAAACTTTCCAAAATTGTTCACTGTAAGTAGGTACTACATAGTTATTTCTTTCAACTAGAATCATTTTAGTGCACAGTGAGAATTTTTATTCGTACATCGTATTAGTTACTAGACGCATAGAAGTGAGATCGGTGTTAGGAAAGCAAAACTTGAATATTTTAATGAAAACATTTTTGACGCATTCGAGTAAGTAATTATTAAGACGGTGATGGTAACTTTCATTAAGCTCTAACACAATACTTCCGAATATTTCCATCTACTCTAAAACACTCTGTTTGTAGGAAAAGCAAGTATCATACTTAGGCTGAGCCGTTTTCAGGCTTGTGTGGTAGTCCCATAACTAAATACTGTTCCGTGGTTAGTATTTTTAAGTTTAGTCAGCTTGTCGTATATCATAGGTAATCTCTATTTTAGTAAAAAATGCAAGATCGATTTCTACTGAAATTTAGCAAAAAACAGGGATGGTGGATATGTTATTATTGAACTAAACAATGTTGTGAAAGCGAGCTAAAGACCCACAACAAAATTCTGAAAAAGCTAACTTTTGGCTTTGTAGTACGATTTCAAACAAGAACTAGACAAAGTTTCAGCACCCTCTGAGTGTAGTTTTTCCCCGGTTATAATTAAAGCTATTCAAGTATAGACTATAATTTCAAGGCCATAAAACCAATCAACTTCTAAACACAGCATACTTACGTATCCAGAGAAATGAGTCGTACTCCGCATCATCATTGCATAAAGATTCATCCAGATGCAGACTAACGTCCTTACCTGAAAAGGAAGGTTGTATCAAGTTAGGCTAGTGCTTTACTATTTGCACGCTTTAGATTACTCAGTAAAGTTTATTCAATATCATATAGCAAATACTTTTGTTCAGTGCTTTTGACATAGGTTTCAAGGCACATAGAGGTGTAAAACACTTAAGAAGAAACCAATTCTTTGATTATGTAACTGTTTTTTGTTGTATGTCATGCAGAAAAACCTTAATTTAGCTGTTGGAAGCTATCAAATTTTACCTTTAATATCACTACATAGTATTTAACTTCAAACACCTTTTATGAACGTATATTAAAATGGTAGTTTATTACGTGAAACTAATTACTGCATTCACACCATGACTTATGATTAGAATACTGTATACTAATATTGACAAAATTCCAGTTTCCGAGATTTACTCTTAATAACACATCTGAATATCAAAATCAGATGGCTCTTTTGTTGTTAGTCAAATAAATCGATAAATGCTCACAAACCACCAAACTAAATCAATTAAGAGACTAAATAGCATTTGTTATGTAATTTAAAAACAGTTTCACTACTAGATAAAATTATTTAATAACCTTTGTACGTAAAAGACGGTTTTTTGGAAAGACTTTCATCTGTCTTAACAGATAGTGTTAGAACCGTGAGTTAGCTTTATTATTTGTTTTTTAGCTGTTTAATTTTGTCTATTTCCTGCGTATACAGTGGTCGCTGTCTTTTCACAAGTAAGGGAATTTGACAGCTCATCCGGAAGTACAGTGAAAACTAGTAATTAATATATCATGTAAAGCTTAGTTATCAAAGAAACGAAATCTTCTAACTTATATAAAGCAAAAAAACAACATATAGTACTGAGATGATGCTGTGTCTGCATATTTTTTGCCGATACTATAATGTTTACAGTGATGTAATGTAATTTAAGCTTAACAAATTAAAAAAATATTTTTGCATTGGTTATTGATCAAATCGCTTATTTAATAGTTAACCAGAGATTTTCATGTTTCCTTTGAATCAGTGCACCGCTAAGACTATTTGTGTTCTGAAAAAACAAATTTCTGAAACCTATCCCTCACTATGTATGTTCACTTATGACAGACAAGCACTATGAGTAGGTTTGAACGGAAACATGTGGATTAGCTCGAAAAAATGATACCCCTTGCCAGATAAACATCAGTCACTTATCAGCAATACGAAATCAAAAGCTACATTGGTCGCCTACTGGTAACCGCTATACGTAAGTAATTCAACTTTAAATGATGGTTGTTGTGGCCTGAATAGCTTAAAGGCAAAGTCTATGACTACAGTGCTCAGAAATGTAGACTCTAAACATAACGGAAAAGAGATACGTTATGGTAGCGAGTGAAACTCACTGGTAAGTGCCGTAAAGCATGAAACCTAGATTAAGGGGTTCATACTGATCGATTTCCTAACATCAAACTAATATTCAAATGGTCATGGTGGGTTGTAAATCGGAGCAGACATCTTCATTTTCCTTTGATGTTACTGTTGTAGATAAGGCCTTAGACTATGACTCGTTAGCCCTCTTCAAATAATATTCATTTCACTGATTTTTACTATAATAATAAGATGATGTTTCAAAACATAATCACAAACCTTAAAAATGCATTCCAACAGACAGTGGTAAATAAATTGAACTGATCTAAATCATTTGATGCTATTGTAGCTTTTTTGTCACGATTTATTAGTAAAAGCACACGGAGCAAATAGTAATCAACCAAATCACAGTTATCCATAAAAGTGTTCTGTAAGTTTATTTTTACTGTTAATTTTGAGAACACAGCGGGAAAAAAATAAACACCTAAAACCTTAGTGATGATTGGTACTAAATCCAGCAACATCCAAACGAAGATTATACTGAGTTCAAAGTAGTTCATTGTACAGACAATATTCGTGCTTACTCAAAGAACAGATTCTAAAATGTAAGGCATAACAGTTGTCAGTGTTATCTTACACTGAAATAATACAGTTGGATGAAACGCAACATTTTGTCATCAAATATTAAGGTTACTGTGACTATTTTAAACAGCTATATGTTAACAACCGTATGAAAAAAAGGAAAACGTATTTCAGATCATTATTTCACTAGCTGAATTTTATCTCACATTGAATTAATTAGCTACTAATTGACATTTTAATTTTCCGAAACGTAGAATTGAAAACGTTTCGAAAACTTTGAATAATCCTCCTTATCTTAGTCAGTTATCCTACAAAACGTAGAAAATGATTAGTTTTTTAAGAAATAAGTATCTACCGATTTGAATTGTCGTTCACTTAGAATATTATAGTTTTGAAGACAGCTATGTGTAACCACTGCCTTTAAAAGTTTATCATACCGTGTTGTGTGTATAAAAGCTGACTGATGAATTCTCAATACTCTTTATGCACCGCTGACACATGATTCTGTATAATATGGAGCCGTAGTGATGCATGCTGAAAAGAATTTACAGAGAACTTTGCATTTGGAGAAATTCACTGAACATGATTTACTGGACCCATTAACAATCAACCTAGTTCAGATCAAGATGGCAACAGTAGGCTAGCAGACAATTTTTGATAATAATTGCCAAGTATGTATTGAATTTAAACGAAAATTTGAGTAAATGCTGATTGACTCACATAAAGCTAAGGATTGATCAGATAATAATTGGCTTCTTGGCTAAACCATTGAATTTTAGGCTTTAATCATACAAAATGCACATCAACTAACTGCATTTCTCCCCGCAGATACGACTCTACGTAAAAACTTATAGGTTTAGTGGGCAAACATAACTGTGAAACACTATAAAGTGTAATTTTGTCAACATTATTTAAACTTACTTTGTAGAACATTGATAACTTTTTCTGGATTGTTCTTATCGACTGATTGAAAATAAATGCACTGATAAACTGGTCTGAAATGGGATTTCAATGAGATGACACATCCGCACATAAATGTTCAAGCACGTTAAGGTTGACAGGTAAGCAGTTATAAAATGAAAGAACAGAATAAGTACCAATATACGTTTCAGTTTACTTACAGATGGACAGCAGGTATAATTGTATCATGTTGTATTCTATTTGGGATATTGACACTTCATGAAAACAAACTCGATTACCATAAGAAATTCGTAAACCGACTGTTATTTCTTATTGAATCTTATGAAGGTATTTTAAACATGCAAGTGGGTCTAAAACGTGGAGTCGATAAATCCATTTCATGAAACTCACTAAATCCATTTCTAAAAGAGGACCTCCGAAGGATTGCTTTAAAAAAATAAGAGGATCTGCTCTGGATACATTTGAAGTTTTAAGTAAGGACTGTTTGAGAATCGCATGGTTTAGACGATTTATTTGTTTCACTTTGTGAGGTTTGTAAGTGCTCTTGAGCTGTCTAAATGTCTTCGTATGTCTGAGGGTGGAGTGAATTAAGTCATTTTTCTATAATGAACACATATTCTTAGTCGCCTTGAGGTGGATGCAACTATTATCACTTAAAAGTGAGGTAGTAAACGTGAATGCTAGATGTTTCTACTGAATTAATGAAGGTGGGGGTTTCGCCGTCGGAAGTTGGGAAACCTTTATTTGAAAACAGTGGTGCAGCTGAGTACTAGGAATCAGAACGGAAGAATGGTGAACAAGCCTACTTTGATCATTCGCAGCCATAGCAGTGCGACACTTCACGCTGCTGCAGTGCTTTGTGGATCACATTAGAAATCAAAAGCTTGGAAAGTGATCTTCCATCTGGGAGTTTAGATGATCTCATGGCCTTAACACAAATCATGAAACAACACTACCAACAAAGACTCATGCATGCAGTCGAGATTACTATATCACAATAGGCATACTCAGTTACTCAGCTTGTCATTTCATTATTTTTGTTCCCACATGTGAAGTGTATTGTCTCTTCCTCATGAATTTCATATTATTCCTTACTTTTACCATACTTATGTTCAGCTACTTGTAAATGATCTAAGTATTAGTCTATCTGCCTCATTTTAAACTGCTTCCACAAAGTTGTTTCTTGATGCAATATTTAATTCCTCAATATTGAAACCACACAAAACGTTCCGACTGGTTGTCCTTAATATTCGAAGCTTGATACAAACAAACCTAAAGACAGATTCGGTTAAGACTTTAGAAAGCTTTGTCATTGCTATGTACTGTACATAAGCAACCCGCATATACGATCTCAGCCATTTGCTTTGAAGAAGTTTTTCTGTCAGCTCAAAAAGTGATGTTGCCGCTTGCCCATTTAATGACAACATGGCTCCAGCAAATGAAATTTCTTGTCTTATTGTTGTGTAAAGTGATAGGACAGAAAGTGTGATAGGTGACTGGGCCCTCATCGAAGATCCAGTGTGCGTTTTTATTCAAGGAAGTTCCATTATTGTAAGAAGCGAATGGCAAGGTTAAACAATGTCTTTACATCACTGTTGCTTATCCTAAGGCTGATAGCATTCCTTATCTAGCTAAGCATTAGTCCCATTATAAATAAAAGAACTCCATAAAGCTCGTTAGACAGACATTGTGGTGCCCGCTGGAGACTGTAATGCATAAGTTGGGCGTCTAGAATCTTTTGGGCAATCAGTGGGGATAACCTGTTTCCAGGTTGTCTACTGGGGACCGCCTTTTACAGCTTTGCGTAAATCCCAGTCTTTTTTTCAGCTATCACCAACTGCCGTAATAGTCATCATGGTCTTGTTGACATTGACACGCCTATTGAGTCTGAGGTTTAGAGGAAACCTTAAGTATCGAAGCGCAACAGTTCGGCTGGCCTTGAAAGTCTGTTTTTGACTTTTTGAATGCAAGAAGTGACAATGTAGTTCAGTAACTGTCTAAATAACTTAAAAGGTTATGGTGTACCGTGAGTGTTCTATAACAGCAGAATGAAATCACTGTTCCATTCACTGTTAGAGAGGAACTTCGTTAGGTATGTGAAAACCAATCTGCTATTAATAGCCCCCAAAATATTAACCATCATAATCTTTGCGGGCTCTTCGCAACGATCTCCAAGTTGCTAATCGGGTTCAGTTCTGATCATTAACGCATTAACCATACGTTCACTCTCCTGACAGATGCTCAAACACAGGTCGAAAAACTCATTTTTCTAGTGTTAGGATTGCATTGAATTCGCCGAGGATGGCTATACTCTGGAATTTTATTTTAGAGTGGTTTGCTTCTGATGGCCTTTTATACAAACACCTCGTGTGGAATAAGGGGATGTGACAACATTTATTCATTGCTGTAAATTCACACTTGGGTTAGACGGGACTGTTCGAATACATCATTGCTTATTATTTTACCACAGATGACAATCTGAGAGCAGTTCTGAAGGAAGTGCGTGATGGTAGTATAGGCCTGCTATCAGGTAGAATACATTTTGGTCCTAATTACGTGCATTCTAACGTTTTGCTATGGCGAAACACAGGTTGCTGAAGTCGCACCTTATTAATTTTTGATCGGTATGCGTATGTTGCGTTGTTTGTACCATCAAAGTGTAAAGAGCTTTTGTAATATTGTCAGAAATTTTTACTTGTACTCATTGTTTGTGGCATAACACTCGAAGCTTTTGAGGAATTTACGTACCTGGGTAGTTGAGTGAGTATTGACGAAGGTGTGACTGATGAGATTTCTAAGCATATATCTGATGATGAGGCAGTACATGCCAATCTGGTTCATATTTCGTGTAGTTGGTATCTTAATTTTATTTAAGAAGGTCAGGCATACATTATATTGCAGAAGGACTGGCACTTCTGCTCTATACCCCTGAAATCTGGCATCACTGGGCTAAGGATGTCGAATGGCTTGCTGTTTTCTCAGGACCGCTAGTATCCAGTGGAAACACTAAACAGGCGTTCTATGGTGAGTTTGTGATGGTTTATAGGCTCTATAGAAGTCATCATTTATATAGTGAAGACACTGATGTGTTATATATATATATATATATATATATATATCCGTATATTGCAGTGAATATCATTTTCATTGCTTCCAAACTGATCACTTTTCGTTGGGTGTAGAAGCAGTTAGAAGAAGAGAAGAGGTGGTTAGTACTTAACTTCACACCATGAGATAAAGGAAAGATGTGCTGAGTTAGCAGCCTTTGTTGCATCATGTCTTTCTACGCTGAGGTAAAAGTTGTGAGAGATCATGCAACTTAGTGGCTTGGGGTGACAGGAGACATGGATCAGAACTGAAAGATATGGTGAACATGCTGTTACTTTATTCTTTCTCCCATTTAAGAAGAGCTAAACGACAATAGTGAATGCTCCTCCCAGCACGCTATGAGAATTATTTTCTGACAATTCATTCCTATTTTTGTTTTTGTTCTTCTATTTTTCCCAATTCATCACAACGTTTATGTCGTCCTAAGGTTGTTTCATAATCCATCTCTTGATGCATTTACAGTACCAAGGTTTTGTTTTAAATAAACTTGATAAAAATTTAACGTTTTTATTCGGAAGTGAATTTTAGTTAACCTTGTCATGTTATTCTTCGAAAACTGTTTGGTTGTTTCATTTTGCATGGATAATGAACTTCTTAAAAATCAAATAGACATTCACGTCAGTGCCTGCATTCCATACTGATATAGAAAGGCAAAAACTAATCATAAGGCTCACCTTGAATTTGGTATGTCTAATTGAACAATAAATTTATTGTGTTTATGATAAACAGTCCTCTCACATTTTAAACTATAATGTATAAGATGCACAAAGACGTTTTCATGTTCGGTAGATATTTCTTCAGAATTCCGTGATATTAGGTTCTGACTGCACCAGTCATCTCCGTTGAATGCAGTTAAACCGTTGAATAATGCCTGACGCTGAATATAGCTCTTTCTTAATGATGTGTCTCTCTTGAAGTTCAAAGTGTCATATGAACTAAGACATAACTGTTGTATCCATAATGTATCAGTTTTAGGCGATACAAGCATCTGACTCCATCCTTCACCAGCAGCTGTCAAATCAAAACCTTTCCTTATGGCAAACGTTTGTAGGTGATCGTCAAGACTGAAAAATACTGGTGGCAAGCGACGACCATCATGTGTCCACCAGAGTTGATTTGGTTTGAGAATGGAATGTTGAAAAAACTGACACCCTGGTTCATTGCATTCATATTTTTGCGTTAAGAATAGTATATAAACTGAAAAAAGAAGAATAAGGCGGTTATTATGTGTAAATAAATTAAGTTGCCATTAAATATATCACCGAGACGTCTGCACATTATGAAATGCAATAATGTAAGATAAAAACTTGTGAACTGTTATAAAGCGTAGTCCCATATTATTTGACTTATTAGGTATATCACACAGTGAAACAGTATTATTTAAATTCCGGACATAATTTATTGTCTTTAGTCATGTAAAGATAACTCCACAACTTTAAGACATGCTCTATATATTTTCAATTTTATCGTCTCCTTAAAGTTGTGTGAAGTATGTCATATAGCTGTGGAGTTGTCTTGATATGAATATGGACAATAAATTGTGTTCAAAACATAATCCAGTAAATAACATTATCCCACTGTGTGTACATCTAATAAATCAACTAAAATAGAGTGTAATAATGTATCGTAGACAATATAAATTATTATTCTTCATCAGTTTCATAATCGGTGGTGAGCGAAATAGTTCTAACCTCGATAAAGAGATAAAGAACTTAGTTCTTGCTATCTTTTTGGTCAGTGGAAACGGGTGTCTTTGTTTCTGCTGCTAGCCAAAAAGAAACGAATTTTATTATGGTGAGTCTTCGGGTAGTGTCAAAACATTCTCACATAGGATGCTTTCCAACAAGGGACGATTATTTTTAGTGGGGGACTTACAAGTATTACTGAATTACCAATAACTGTTTAGAATCAGACAGACCACAATCAACAATTTTCCATGAATTCAGTGCCTAATTTACATACTTTGGTGTCAATTATCAAATTCACTATCTTGACAGTGGGAAACTTAACTGCTGAATGTTGCTATTAACTGAATTAAAGTTATAACATTTCGTGTACTACAAAACGAAATAAAATTTATTTCCGTTAGCTTTTACGCTATGCTTGTTCTTCAGGTCACTTCCAACCAACTAAACATTCATATTATTTCACTCATTTTCAATTTCCGAAAAATACTGAATACAGCCTCCGGTTTGTCGATGATTACCCAAAGAGATGTTGAATTATTAGTTTATGTCATGTAATGCTGACGGCTTAAAGTACAAGTGTTACCTTCCAGCTGCTTCTCCTACGCCCAGAAGTAATGAAATATCGAATCTTTAAGCATAAACATCTATCTCTTGCATTGAAATGCAGAATATTGATAACTTATTATCTTATTCATTGGTATATCCTACTAAAAAATCAAATGTCTCGTTCTAGGAGTGTTTATTTATTTGTTTACTTGACTTATATTTCTCTTTTGTACACACTTTTACTCACAGGTTTATTTTCTTCTTCCCTACATATGTGTTAATCGATCTTTGGAGTGCAAACATAAAATCTTTTTAATTTCAATTATTTCCGGTACAATTCTACACCTATGTGAAAATACATAAGTCATGAAGTTTTGTTTCTCTTACTCCCTTGATGTTATAATGTTACATTTTAGAAAAGTAGTTAGTTGGCAATGCTGTGTTACATAGTATTCTGTAATGTAAAAATTTCATTGCTTTATATATATACATTTGGGCGTTACCGGATATAAATGCAGGGTAATAATCATGTGTATGAGTCCATATATACTTATATATATCTGTGTACATACTAAGCATTAAAATAGGCTATGCTGACATATGATGCATGCAAACTGAATTGGGATCAAAATCTTAGAGAGTTGAATGTCACCTGTCATGTAGAAAAAATAAGAAACCGTAGGTAATATGTATTGGCAAACTTCAGATAGGTACACTGAATGATACAATAAACAACTGGAAATGACTTATTAGTTGAATGACAAGTTCACTTTCGTTTACCTGCTCACTTTAATAGGTAATGTGATGAGGTGTTATCTGAAAGAAAAACGAACAGTGATTATTATTTATTGTCCTGGATACTTACAAAATATATTCCCCCTGTAAGTAGCAAGGATGAAGTCATGAAAATAAAGTGCAACTAGTAGTTTCATAATCTGATGATTTATGTCATTATCATCTGAACACTGTTTCGTATTCTAATTACAGCGGACGGACGGAAAACATTTTGAGACACCTAACATTAAATGGTCTATGCTTAAAATTCCACATTCGGAGGTTTTCTTCACAAGTAAATACTAGGGAATCATTCCATAATTTCAGAATCTTACTTTATTAAAGGGAATTTAAACGGTGAGAGATGCTTAAATTCTGATTTTCATTTTCGCCTATTATTTGTTGATTATTGTTACTTTCCAGATTTAAAGTGAAATTTTACAACATTGTGGAAAATTGGTTTGAGTGAGTCATTACCTTGACGGTAAAAATCGTGATATAAAAGAAACTCAAAAGTTAAAAATACAAAGTACGTTTCACACAACATACAGTTAAAGGAACCAACCAAGCTTGGATAAATAAATAAACATAGCCTCAAAAACAGAATGGTGAAGGAGTACAGTTCTACATAACCTAATAAGGTGCTTACCAAATGCAACAATGAAATTTTAACAGTAAAAGGAGCAAATTTCACTACCTATGTGAAATTTACCACATCATCTTATGAATTGGTTACTTTCCTGACAATAAATAACTTACCTACCGATGATGTACTAATTACAAAACTGAGTTCTGGTTCTAGTCAGATACGCTTTGTTATAATGAAAGAGGTAAAATAATTGTACTAAATCCTACCTGGAAGCGCTATACAGTTTATTTATCAGTGCAGAACACAAGATAAAACCCTGATAAAATCCTTTTTTTCAATAGCGATTGTAGTTATTGTGTAAACAAAACAAAACTTTAACTCCGTTTTACTTGTAACACGACATCATTATTGTTTACGGTTGTACAATATAATTTCATTCCTGTAGAGCTGAATAGCCATATCTATATATGCGCGACTTGGTAGCTAACCTGTATCTAGCTTTAATGGTATCTGGCAGTGTTATATCTAGAATGATTATGATAAATATCGAGGTATATATAATTTGTCACCTAATATGTAATTCTCCTTGTCACTGATTACAAATACCAACTTAAATAGCCATTTAAAGGTTGTTTTAAATGTGTGAAACCTCAAACTCTCTTCAGACTTTTGGAAGTGGATTGAAAACAATATTCATGGAACATTTCATACTTCGTTTCCTTGACAAATAATTTCAGACATCATTATAGTGATGCTAGGTTTCTAAGATGTAACAGCAGAGACTTTTATACATGCGTATAGTTCTCTATCAAGTTGCAAGAAAAAAGGCTATGAAGTGTGTTTTCGTTTAGTCTCGGTGTGGAAGAACAGTAATATTCTGTTGTAGTTCAAGTAATAACAGATCAACTGAAAAAAGAATAATAACGCTGACGGGATCTGACCGAGTACAGAATAGAAACAAAAGTACTTAAACTAAAAATTTTTTATCATTCAAACAAAATTTAACATCTACTTTGCATGCATACTGGAAAATCTTAATCTTTTTGCTTCAAAGTAAAACTAAAGAAAAACTATTGACACAGTGTCATAGCAAAACTACGGTTCTCAGCAAGGTGGCTTCACTAGATCGAATTTTTCTGACTCAGTCTTCGGTTTATGTTCAAAATCGTGAAGTGTTTGAGTTCGTTAATATATTAATTCACATAAAACGACCAGGAAGATTTTCAAAATCACTAATTATAATCTGATAGTAACCAATAAGATACAAGTTCCGAAATGGAGGGTGTCAACTGAAGGATTACAGCACTGCTCTTATGCTTCGGTTTTTGCAATTACCCATAACAAGGCATTCAGAAAATGCAATGAAAAGGAGTTGTCACTGACACAAGCATTCCCTTTCATAGGGGGAAAACAAGTTCGAAGAAAATCAAGCAAACTCCATGCTGTCCATGTATGCATAGACTGGAATTTTACTGCATTTAGTTCTTGTATCGAGCAACATCCATCGAGTTTGTATATTAATTTTCAGATGTTTTGTTGAATACGCCTTTATCCCTGTTTTTTCACATATGTGACTGAACAGTTTGTCAGTGCGTTCTTATGTTTTAACCTACCAAAAGTCGTAAAATTACAAAATCAAATGCCAGACAGTTGCTAGGCAAGGTAGTTCAAACATACTGTTTTCCTCAATGTGTGAAATTGTGTTTCAATTCAGGATGATGGTTCAAGTATATGAATTTTGCATACACGAATGAAGCTTGATTTCATTGTGCATACCCTAAAGTACTCTTAAGCCAACATGTTTTTATGGGGAGATACATCTAAATGGAAAGTTAAACTTGTAACAGATGAGTATTCAAATAATTTCTGATCTTTGAAGTTAGTTAAAGTGAGGCTGAAGAATTGTAAGCTAAGTACAAACTTAACTATTACAAGTTGGCTTGTTTTAGTTAACCTATGGATTGAAAAAACCAAGATTGAGAGGTTGGCTTAGTAAAGCCTAATTCAGTATTTTCTCAGTCAAATCTTTAATCTGTGTATTATTTAAGATGCAGTTGAAGTCTAAATTATAATCTCATTAAATAGTTTCTATTTTTATTTCAGTTTGATAAAAAATACAGCGCTGCTTAAAATTCTGTTAACTTCAGGAGAAACAAATCGTACACAGTTGAAATTTGTGAATGTTCAATATCAACGTTCAGAAGAAAACTGCCCTACTTGTATTCACAAGAGATCCTCAAATATCCCCAATTTTAAAAAAATACAGCAAGTTTGCGAATTTCGTATGTATGTGCCTTCAAAAATATCTTTTATAAATTTCATTGCTTCTGTTGTCATGTAATGCGAAGTTTCAAAGAGAACCAAATTAATGTAACTGTCATCTTGTATTTGAAGTCGCCGAAAAAGACCCACACCGTTTATTGTTATTGTACTGTGCTGCTAACCGCGTCACATTTGTCATGGTGTTCAGTAGTATTTTCCAGATGTAAATGGAAGTTGTTTGTGTGAAAAATGTATTCCCACACACTAGAGTATAAAATGCTTATCTTGTACATTTATTGTAGTGAATTTTTGATGGGCTACAACTTTAATATAAATATATTCTGTTGGAGAGAGGTAAAGAAACGATATTCCCTCTCATGAAACAATGAGGTGGCAAATAACCTGTGAATTAAAAACAATTCTCCCAGTATACTGAGATCATTTCATTGGAAACTGATGGCGCACTAATGAAATTACAACTTGGTAGCAGTGAGATAGTCCAAATAAAACTGTAAATCATCTTCTAACGGGAGAGTTTTTCAAAGCCTTGAAAGGAATAGACTTTGAAATCACGATACACTTTACTAACCTTTATATAGTTATAGTATACTCTTAATTGAAGTCGGTTGTAAGCTTGATTGTTTTTCAACGAATCTGCCTTTTGGATGATCAGTTTGCAAGTAATTTACAGACCGCATGGCACGCTTTAACGTTTCCTACATCTGAGTATGTTTTTCAGTTGTTTAATTGTAGTGTAGACAGAGTTTCTGTTCGAAGCCACCTGATCAAGATCAAAAGATGCAATCTCTGACACAAAAATGTCATCGACTAGCGAAATATACTACTACTGAACAATTTGATTAGTTATAAATTTTAAGGAATAGTCTGTAGATTTTGCCAGCCAAATCATAATGATATGGACATCAAACGGTCGTTTCACCAGTGTTAGGCAAACAGATCATACTTTTTTAGGTATACCGATTGATGTAATTTAGCCAGACAGATCCAGATGACCTGAACAATTCAGGTGTGTAAGCAGAATTTGTGAGCTTACACCCCTGATGAGATCGGCTTGAAGTAAAAAAACCACAGCCCGGTGTTTAGATCACTGTGGTCTGGTTGAGGAAATCTACAAATAACCGTGAGTGATTTCTAGCTACTCAGGTTTTTCAGCAGTACAGAGTCTGTCTTCAATTATGAGAAATGTTATCGATGTTTTACTAGATAGTCAAGGGATTTGTCTTGTATGATTACTAGCCAGTATATCCGATTGATACATTCATAGACTTATTTATTTCAAATATTCTTGAAGATATGGCTTATTACCTTTACTTAGGTATGCAGCAGGTGAAGACAAAAAAAGATATGCAATTTTTATATATTTGTCTAAAAACCTGTTCAAGCTTCATGTGATTTTCGTCTTATCTAGTAACCACTTTCCGATAAGATCTCATTTCAGTTTATCAGAAACAAGAGTTATATAAATATCATTTCACCCCAAATCATTTTACGCAATGATGTGATACAAATGATACCAAATTTGTCTGGTTGTTCGATTTCGTATATAGACGCAAAAATTCTAAGTCTCATTTTAAAATGTGAAATGATTACTTCTACGGCAAACAAAACATTCAGATGTGTTTTTATAAGCAGTTGTACTCATTTTATAAAACAGAAAACTACTTTTATGGGTAAAAATAATGAAGTAGGGCACATAAGTGTGCAGTTTAGTTTGACCTCTCAGTACTCTCAAAAAAAATTAATTAAACAGCAATTAAGCTGCGATAGGGTTTAGATAATGACGAAAGATTCTGAAGCCAAAAAATGTGCATTAGTTGACAATTTGAAACGGTAAGCACAACTATGCTTTATATATTCGTACTGACTACTATACAGAGTTCAAATGAAAAAATGTACTTAACAGTTTCGAAAAGTTTAAACTGATAACTGGAATATATATTCAAATTAGGATCAGTTTTTATTTCGTGTTCATCATTGTGAGGATTAGTGTTTACGCGCCAAAAATTCAGTGGTTTGTATGACAATAAATAACACAGCAGCACTTTAGAGTTCCAAAAATACTATGTTATGGGCTGAACTTTAACATTTTTCAACTTATAAACGGTAGAAATTAATTGTATCCGGTATGCGAGTGTCATATTGAAGCGAAACGGCCACTCTTCATAGGTATCCAGTTTAGCAATTATTTGTTAGTTTCATGAGAAAGAACTAACTATCCCTAGTTGATATGATATACACTACCAGAAGTATTTTACTTTCATTGACAATTCGTTTTGATTGATAGTTGTCACCATTATCTTTATTATAAATTGACGTTGGTTAGAGAGCCGTTGAAAGCTAAGTGGAATTAGACACACGATTATTTTAAGTACAGTGCCGTTCAACAGTGCACACTGACGACACCGCTAAAAATCGAGCTTTCATATGAGTTTCTAGCTGTTCCAGTTGGATGTTGTGGCATACAGTGTCAACCAAGTCGGGGTTAAAGACATACTCCTACTTACCACACTGAACAATGGTAGCATTAATTTAGGAAGTGGCAGAAGTAGGACACACTGGGCTGTTAGATTTTATTTTAACTAGATCACAAAGACCTCTCCAAGATACCGGACATTACTGAGGTCATTCACAGGTTTGTATTAGCAATGCTGAAGAGTTTGGAATTATAATGAGACAGTTATTCAGTGCTTCCATGTTCTCAATGGCCATTTTAATGATATCAATGCATGATGGAAAGCCCTTTGATATTTCTTTTCATCAAAGTTTGTTATAAGCATCATTAAATCAAGTTAGTGGGAAATGCACAGATTATGATGAATGTTTAGTGGTCAAAACTCTATTGAACGAAAGAGATATTTATGAAAGTCTTTAATACTACATAACTCTGCTAAATGATTATTTATTTCAGCATGAGTTTCACTCACTAGCGTTCCCTGAATAAGTTTCATTTATATCTCATTTAAAATGCGCTGCCTTATTTCCTTGGTAATTTGCTTTATTCATAAATTTTATGAAAATTCTTGCAAGAATTTATGTCATCAAAAATTTTCTATAGTTTTTTCACCATTGACAGCATCTATCCATCCGAATGCATATACTTAAATGATTTGAAAACTCGGTTAACCGAATAATATTTCAAAATTTTCTCTTTATTTTTTAAATTTTCATTCAGAAAGCTTTTACCTCTTATCCAACCACCGTGTCTCGAAAAATGAGTCTTTAATAGGCCTAAAAATGTAACAAAATTATGCAACTGCCATATTTGACGCAAAACATAAATGATTACAATAATATTTTTTCTGATTAATGGCATCGTTGTTTCGTTGTATCTATACGCACCTAATTGTAATCTTCAACCCACCACAAGCACTACGAATTATTGTTCTTTATGAACACCAGTTATTATCTATAAGTATATTTATAGAGGTAAGTATTTATCCGTATTACTCATATTTCTTTCGAGCCATGCTACTTATGTAAGAAAGTGAATTAGTAAAGACTAAAAGTAAAGTATATTGAATACGATGAGTGAGTCAATTAAAATAGCATCAGCTACTTTTTCCGAACTTCACAACGAATAGAAGCAACGTTGACAATCGTTTGGTGTTCTCGGAGCTTTGGAGTTTGTTCTTGGACGTCTCGTCACCGCACTAAGTGACTTTACCGGTACTTCAAACCTGTTATTTCATAAGCAAAACTTTCTTTTTTTTTGACTTATATCCTGCCATTGACCGTGTTCAAGAGAAGCAAGAGAAGTTCGATAAATTATAGAAGGAGCAAATAGAAGGAAATCAGAACTGAATTTTTGGAGCTGACAAGAAGTTGGTTGATCTGTGCCACTGTGATAGTATTAGATCCAATTACTGATTCTCAGTATCTACTTTTTCCTACACTTAAGTATGCATTCCAGGTACTCAGTAACTATGTGGATGACTACAATGTCATGCGTTCTTCTAACACAAGGTTTTCCTGAAAGACTCCGAATTACAAGAAACTAGTTTTCACTATGACTTAGTGAGTTAAACAATCCAAAAACAAAAGCATATTTCATTAGGAAGCAGAAAGTAAGCCCAATTACATGAACATTTTAACGACGCATGATTTCATTTCCGTTGGGGTTTTGTCATGCTATGTAACGTTTTTTCTTTTTCTAGCCTGCATGCATTGTAAAAAATGTAAAACATGCTAAACGTTTCGTTAATCATATCCAGTAATGCATAAACTACTTCCAAGAAAGATATTTTGTAGTCTGTAGTTGTCAGTGCCTGTGGTAATATTTAGCAGCGTTCAAAATCTTACAATAATTTAGGCTTTGCAAAAAATTTTCTCATAGTTTAATCTTAAGCTTACCGCTCATAATAAATGAAAGTTTATACAGGTCTTATCATGATACCAGTCTGTTCGTATACCTACAATATTCCTCATAGAAAACCATAAGGAAATATTTTATCCCACATATTATTCACTGAAAGGGTTTTTGAGAGTTGGACACAAACAAATATTTCAAGAAATCTGATTGCATTAAAAGAATAAATCACTATAAAACAGTATGAAATTATATCGCTGCACACGTGTTTAGGGTAAACAAACAAACGGAACTTACCTAGAACAGTAAGAATTAACATGATGATATCTTTTTGCGGAGTTCATTAACCATTAGAATGATTAGCTGTATTTCGTCATTACATTAATAGTATTAGTTATGTCAGTCAATCATTTGTAACCATTTTTCAAACATCTTCAGGTCGATCATAGAGATTTTAATGTTTAGTGCTTACCAACACCTATTTATCAGCAGTCATAATCCTAAGACACAGAATGCTTCAAATTCACTTACGCTGACATAAATGAACTTGAGGTAAAGTTTTATCCTACATACATGCCTGAAAAATTGGGAAATGTCGTAATTTAGCCAATCAGAAACTTGTTGTTGTCTTACACTTCTACACATATAACAATACATAGGAATGATAGACACACTCCTTTTATAGTTCTAGTTTGTAAGCAAAGGAAATAGGGTCAATTCATTTTGATGACACATACAATATAGACTGTCATTTAAGAAAGAATTACTTCTGGATCAACATCAGTGAATTATAGTGAAACAGAGGCCAGCCTCTTAACAATACTTGTGTATTAAGTGGTACGAGCAGAAGTATTCATTTTCGTGGTTCCTAAAAAAATATAATGAGTGACTCTTGTCATAAACTACGACTTATCAGTTGATTTCTACCTGAATATAAAATAAATAATTTCAGCTATATATGATTCCAGAAATTATGAAATAAATATTCATTTACTCCTTATAACCATAAAGGCAGTAGCTTAAAAACAAAATCTTTCAAATTTCTAGCCAGCGAACAATTCTGCCAATGGACTTCTAAAATGCGACACCGAAATTTTGAATTATTCTAAGCCACTCACTTTAGGATAAATTTCACGTTGAGAATTTAGCATGACTTATCTAATGTAGTCATAATATGGTTAAAATAATTGTTAGCTTTCTCATGTCAGTGCTTCTTCACTTCTTAAAAATTGATTAACGTATTGTTGGGTAATATACATGACTTTGCTACTTATCATTCATAGTCATCAGCAATCCTCAACTGAAGAGACCTCCATACTTTTGGACGTTATCTCTTATCAAGAAAGTAGGTAAATCTTTTTTCCCCAGGAAAAATGTTTTTGAGTTAGAAAGAATGGAGCAGGTGCTCAGCCCTATACAAGGTGCATAAAATATTTTGCATAGTTTGATTTACCTTACAAAATACTCTACAACAATTACCGTTATAACTAAGTAGGCCATATTGGTGATGAACTGGTTGAAGCTGCTGTTGTGATCTGCATGAAGTATTTAGAAACACAAATGGAAATAGAAATATCTCACCCCGCAAATGAGTCATGGCATTATTTCCTTGTTTGCATATTAAAAGGTACTATAAATACCATTGATAAATGAAAAAGACATATTCAATAAATTGCTAGCTCAATGGTATTGAGTAACCGAATCTTTTCAACTGATTAACAGCATTCAAAAAGTGACGTCCACTAAGGATGTCAGACAACTAAGAATGAAAAGCATTTACTTGTAAGATAAGCTTCTTATAGAAAGAAGTCATAGTTTGCATTTTCGAATGTCAAGTCGTTCCATCAAAAACAATAAGTTATTTTTCTGATGATGGATCCATCGAAGCCAAGAAGACGCGAAATAAGATCCAGGAGATAAGTTGCGTGAAAAAGTTATTGACCAACGAAATACTTGTTTCCACAAAAATAATAAAATACACGATACTGAATATCGATCTATGGTCTCGAATACTAAACACCGTTTTGAGTTCTCTTGGTGAGTCATTGTCTTAAATTCACACAAAATGCAATTCTGCCCAAAAAAGTGAAATAAAAAATAAATTGTAGCAACTTTACTTGGGAACACATTTACCTAAAACATTTTTATTCTAACTGTTCCTCTAAAACATTCATTTTAAGAATGAAAGAATATTCGGAACATATATGATTATACTTTTATTGGAATCAAAAATGTTCATGATTACCTCTCATATAGCATTTAGAGACATTAGGCAGAATTTCTGAACTGGATCCTCAGAAAGTCCTATCTTAGAAAACAGTCAATAAGTACATTTTTGCTTGATGTACACGTGAAGCAGCGAATGATGCAATTTGTTATTGATCTTGTAAAACATTTTTCATTATTTAGAGGAATCCAAAGATTTTTATAGTAATAAAGAACCGCTATCCTAATACAGGGCACAACATTCATTGATTAGATACCGTTTACTTAAATTTTGTCAGAAGAGTGCCTTTCTGCGTTTCAAAAAAAAAATATGCTTCCTTTCATCTGAACGATGTGATTAAGTACTTTGAATAAAGGTTAACTTAATAAATGAAGTCGTGAGTAGTCATCTTTGAGAATACAATACTCAAAAGTTGATGGAAAATTCCTAAAACTTAGTTATTTTTACCCTAGAGAATGACACACTGCTAAAGTATTCAACGAATGACTGTCCTTTTTAAAATTAAGCTTTGTATATATTTTTCGTACAGATATTAAAATGTCGATCAAGTTTATTCGTATTTGGAATATATAGTTTTAGCAATCAGATTATTTAGTGTGGCACCTTCCTTTAATTCATCATTTTATCTGGAATTTATCATATTTTAAAATAACTGCTTATAAACTTACAAAACACAAATGAATCATCAACAAGTTAAATGATGAGCTATTGTGAACCTGGAAGCTATGCAAACAATATTTGAATCTATTCTCAACTTTAAAGTACAGAAAGAAGAAAGTCATTTGCAAGACAAGCTGAACTCATGTTCAGCCTACTTGACACAAGGTCAAGAAGGGGACCAGATATAGGCTTAGACCAATATCTAGTGCAAGGGACCTTCAAATCAAGTTGGAAGCCTTCAAAGAAGCTAGTGAAATAAAATGACAGTTCACGCACAACAACCAGAACGGAAAATTAACCGAAAGACACAGCCACAAAGGAAATCTTCATGTCAGTCAGCCATCAAGACAAAATAGAAGATATCCAGCAATATCCCTGAAGAAACCTGCATGGGAGAACACTGGAACTCTTTGAAAGAGATGTGGAAAGAAACCTGCATAACCGTGTTGGGAAGGAAGAAGAATCAAGACAACAAATGGATCTCCACGAATACAAGGAAGCTGAACAGGCAGAGAGTGGAGGATGGTGAGGCAGAAGATGAACCAGTGCAGTGCAATGCAGTGCAAATCTGAACAACGAGAAGAGGATCTGAACACAACATATAAAACACTACACTGGAAAAAGAATTGAAGAAGAGCGCGCGGAAAGACAAAAGACACTTCCACGACACACTGGCAAGTGAAGCAGAACAGGCTGCAAGTAGGAGAGACAGAGACCAGACAACACTATATCAAATAACCAGGTTACTATCTGGGAGGGAAGAGATCAACACAGATGAAACCAATGAGAGATAGTGAAGGAAACCTAGTTGACATCAAAGAGGAGAAACAAAGGAAACGATGAGCTGACCACTTCGAAAAACTCTTGAATCGACCACCATCACCATCACCATCACCAACTGCAACTCGTCCGAAATACCACATGCAGTGCAACCACAGAACTACCAGTGAACACAGGCTCTCCGACCAAAGTCGGAGTCCTGAACACCATAAAGCCACTGGAATGCGAGGAAGCAGCAGGACCAGATGGAATCCCACCAGAAGCAGTGACGACAGATGCACAGACAACAGCGGACATGCTCACACCACTGTAGCAAAGGGTTTGGAAGGAAGGAATGAAGGGAAGGTGCCTGCCCACTGATTGGAAGAAGGTCTATCTTGTCAAACTCCGAAATAAGGGCGACTTGAGTCTTTGCAAGAACAAGAACTGACACAGAATCATGCTCCACTCCTGTCCACCCAAAGCAGAATGCTAGGCCGCATCATCCCGGAAAGACTAAAAGATGCGCTGAATTCAGAACTACGATCGAAAGACGATTGCTTCAGAAAGAACAAATCATGTGTGGACCAAATTGCGACGCGACGCGACGCGACGCTACGCATCATCATAGAACAGAGCATAGAATAGCAATGAACTGTCTACCTCAACTTCGTGGATTTTGAAAGACCTCTCGACAGCGTCGACCAACAAGTAATTTGGCAGGCAGCTACTTCAACACTACGGCTTTAGAGCCACAAACCTTTATCAACCTCATTCAACACCTATATGATGATGATGATGATGACGCCACATGCCAAGTTATTCACAATGTAAAGCTCAGTGATGCTTTCGAAGTGAAGACAGGAAAGAGTGAGACAAGACTGTCTACTATCACGCATGATATTCCTGGTTGTAGTGGAGTGGATCATGCAAGAAACAGTGAGGAGCGAGAAGATGAGCATACGCTGGCAGGATCGATGAAAAGATCCCAGAAGATTTGTATTTCGCCAGAGATGATGATTCATGTCTAATGTCTCATGGCACAAACTCGAAGATGTACAGGCTGAAACTACCAAGTCAACAGAAGAGGCAGTGCAGTGCAGTGCAGGGTAGGGCATGGCATGGCATGGCAGGGCGGCGAAGACAAGACACTATTCAAGCGAACGTAGATAAGACAGAGGTGATGAAGATACACAGTCAACAACAACAACAACAACAACAAACACCAATCACCATCAACGGGAGAAACTTAAAGCAAGTTGTCTCTTTCACCTACCTACCTACCTACCTACCTACCTACCTACCTACCTACCTACCTACCTACCTACCTACCTACCTACCTACCTACCTACCTACCTACCTACCTACCTACCTACCTACCTACCTACCTACCTACCTACCTACCTACCTACCTACCTACCTACCTACCTACCTACCTACCTACCTACCTACCTACCTACCTACCTACCTACCTACCTACCTACCTACCTACCTACCTACCTACCTACCTACCTACCTACCTACCTACCTACCTACCTACCTACCTACCTACCTACCTACCTACCTACCTACCTACCTACCTACCTACCTAGACAGCATTGTCTCAACTACAGGTGGCACAGGCACACATGACGACGTCAAAGCCAGCCACGATCGGAAAGACAGCAAGACAG